CTAAAATGTTATCCGCATAAAGAAACTGCGTTGTCTTGTACTCCAAAGCGCAATTTCAGGACTTGGCAAAAAGCCAAGAGAGCTGCACGCGACACGCGCCGCGCGGATGGTGTTAGCATAAACGTGAGGGCGGTGTAGCAAGGAATTACGACTTTTCCACGGCCCCGTACTCTGACCACGTGCAGTTTTGGGCGGGGGGACCACGACACATCGACAGCTGGGGGATGGTGCTGATAGTTTACACACCCTCAATGTGTTTGAGCGTACCATGTGTCTTTAATAAAAGCTCTCTGCGATATGCTATATGACATTGATTGTTTTCATTGCACATAAGGTCAGCCGAGTGACGCATGAAACCGACCTGCTGACATCCGCCTGTGGGCGATATTAAGCCTATTTCTATTTCTATTTATTGAAGCAGGCATGAGTCTACGTGAGAACACAAAAACCACAACAACGATTGGCATGCCAGTGCAATAAAATAAAGAAAACTTCAGTGGCTATGGCAAAGCAAGGCTAAATTAAGGAAGAAACAATAAAAAATAAAAAAAATTAAAAATAATGAGGCAGTGAACTAGCACGAGAGGGAACCAACTGAGAGAATCCTGCGAATCCTCAGGGTTCACCATTTTTTTGGCAAGGTACTTGAAGGAACTCGGAGAGAAATGCATGACGTCACGAGCAAGCAGTCTGTTGAGAGAGGTTATCACCCTTACAGAAAGAATTTGGAGCGGATTTGGGTTTTCACCAGCGGAACCCTGATGTTAGCATCGTTCCTCCTAGCTCTAGAAAGGGTACGCGTGAAGAAGGTTGAGAACTGACGGCAGCTCTACCAGTCAGGATTTAAATGCCATAACGAGATCGTTTACCTTTCTAGCATGCGACTGGGAAGCGAGTATAAACAACGACGTTCCTGCCCTTTAGGAATAAATTGGTAGGACAAACCAGAGCAGCGCATGGCAAGCTTCCATGTGAAACAATCTTGGACACCCTCGAGTAAGCATATATCCTTTTTCTTGAAAGGTGAGAAAACGGTTGTGCCTGATACCAGTAACGGCCTGACATATGTTTTATAAGCCCTGATGCGTGTCTCTTAGTCCTTTGAGCGGACTGCCCTGAACAGATTAAAGATCCTATGTGTTGCTCTAGACACAATGTCCGAATAATGCCTATCAAAGGAAAGCTTGTTATCAAGCTTGAAGATCAGGTCGCGCACTTGACTGTTGGTCTGGAGTTCCAGTGAGCCTAGTTTGTATTTTATCGCTACAGCATCACTACCTTTACCAACGTAGAAGACTTTGGTTTTGCCGTGGCGTAGGGGCAGGCCCCACCTGATGGACCAAGAGTTGACACAGTTGATAGCAGCTTGGAGGGCATAACTATCCTCTGAGCTCTCAACTACCTTGTATATCTTGACATCATCAGCATACATCAAGCAAGTAACACCGTGGCCAGACACTAAACTAGAGCCCACAAGTAAATATAGAACACAACAGTGGTGATAAGACTCCATCTTAAAGAACACCACAGCTAGCCAAAAAAAATATTAGATAACGTATCGCTAATGCGGACTTGGCACGTACGGTTTTGCAAGAAGCAACTTATCCAGTTTATAGCTCTAGGATGTAGGCCAACGTACCGCAACTTACTTATGAGAAGTGAAATAGGAACACGATCAAAAGTCTTGGCAAAGTCAAAGTAGAGTGAATGAGTAGGCTTCTTCTAATCTAAGGGACTTTTCGAAGTTAGAAGAGCAGTCTCAGCTGATCGTCCCTCACAGAAACCATGTTGAGAACCAGAAATGATGTTGTACTCATCAAGATGAGCCATAAGCCGACGTTGCAAAATCTTCTCGAAAGCCCTAGCGAAAATGGAGGTAATACTAATTGGGAGGTAATTCTCACAGTGATTGTGGGGGCCTTTTTGGGAACCGGTGTGACTAAATAGTGCTTCCAATCTGCTCTCAAATAAGACTAATTGAAGAGGTGCTCAAGGGGATAAAATAAATGATTCAGTACCATTTTGATGAACTTAAAAGGGATGAAGTACTGTCAGGGGTAATAGAAGGAGAGGGGAGCCAAGCAGCAAGAACGTCATATATCTCCTCCACATGAAACCAAACTGTTGGTTTCACGGTAGGACAACGTGGCGTGGTCTTCCGTGGATTGTTCGCAATAGTTTGAAAACGCTAGTTGAAACCTCTCGGCCAATAGCTCAGCTTTATCTTTATCACTGATGGCGAGGTGGGACTCATCTACTACCAGCGCAGGTAACTTGTTCCTAACTTTAATCGTGAATTGATATAATTATAAAGTCTGGATGGAACCTTTGAAGCGTTTATTTTATTCACGCTTGCATAGTATTTCGCAAGAGCCTTATCAAGCTTCCGAGTAAACTGTTTATAAGAAGTCAAGTAAGATTCTGTGTTTTCTTTAACCGCTGAATCCCAAAGATCAGCGCAAATCTCCAACATCTCGCCAATCAACTCGGGGGAAGTCTCTAACCATAGCAACTTGTGGGTCAGGTTTATCAATGTTAAGTCAAAACTGAACAGTGGCATGGTCACTGTTACCAATGGGTGGCAAGACGTTGACTCCTGATACTAAGAAGTGGCGATTGCAGACCAAGTCAAGGATAGAGCTGCCTCGGGTTGGGGTACGCCCTAACTGGACAAACTCTTGAGAGTACAGCGTCTGGGCAAACTCCTTAGAAACAGACTTACCTACCCTCTTTGAGACACGCTGGCATCAGCCATGATAAGGTCACCTAGCACGAGAGCCGCGATATCGTGAGAACTGAAGTCAATTATCGCTTTAAGAAGTAAATTGGTCTTGAGGGCATTGCAAGATGTAGTCCTGTAGATTAACACGAATCTGATTGTGGAAAGGTTGAGATATGCATCAATAACAATAATCTCATAAGCATCGCATAACTGATTCACTGAAGACAATATTGTGAGGTATAGCGTTTCTAATGGGAATCAGGACACCCCCTCCTTTTCTTCTGGCACGATCGCATCTGAGATAGGTGTACTGGGAGTTAGCAATACCCAGCAGACTACACACTTCATTGCTAGGAATTAACCAAGATTCCGAAAGAAAAACCAAATCATAGCTCTCACGAATTAACAGTGAAATGTCAGCATTACTGTTTTTGACAAAAGACCTGACATTTGACAACATACACTTGAACGTGAATTTCCCTCGAGAACAATTACCAGAAAAATTTGTGCATGGGCCAGGCGTGAAAGTGCTCTGGGAGAATTCAGGACAACTCAGAGGTTTACCACCTGGTTGGGGAGGATTTGTGGGCTACCTGAGTGATTATTATTATGCACAGTAGAAGCTTCATCCTGAGAGTGATTTCGACGAGTAAGCAACTCCTGTCGCCTGCGTCTTCTCTCATTCAGTGTGAGAGAAGGGCGTATAAAAACGCCTTGATGGGAGAAGACGTAAGCGAGGAGCGCGTCTCATAACTTTTTTTGGAATCTACTACGGGTAGAATACCTTCAAAAGTCTTGGTCTACGAGGGACTTTTGTACCTGTGCGGAACACGGACACGGGAAGACAAGCAACGAAAGTCAAGCAATGTATACGTGCAATCTGGGTCATGGTTTACAGCTTCCGGTGATCTGAAAGAACTACTCTCAGGGACACCGGATATAACAATGGAACGCTCTAAATCAGGATCACTTACATCATCAGTAGCTGAACTGACAGAATAAACTACAACTTCACTATGAGAATTTTGAACACCAGTATGGGAATAAACTGGCTTAGCAAAACTAACTCATCAATTTTAGACTTCAAAACCAAATTTTCCTCCCTCAATCTTCTATTCTCATCCTCGTATGAATCGCATTTCCAGCTGACATTAGCTAATTCACGGCGAGTATCGATCAAGAGGTCGATTATCAACTGCATGTAGGGCGGAATATCGCGACTTGACACTTGACACGATAAGCTGTAGCTTGTCCATAACATTGGTGGTTGCTTGCGGTGAATCGCCAATACGAGATCTCTTCACTGGAACAGGAGAATACCGAGAGGGAGAAATCATACTGTCGAGGTGGTAGACAAAGACCCAATCAGTAGAGTAGTGGTGGTGATCTATCGATAATCAGTGGCGCAAAAAGACAAAAATTACCCGCCTACTAGGGCACATAATGCGATCACTAGGCAGTGGTGTCAGTTCTGAACTACGAACTGGTGCTGACGGTGCATTTTTTTTCATTGCCTTCTGGTCTTAATACTGCTTTATGAGACTTCATCTTTATAGTAATTTTGACAGCAACCCATGTGTAACCATGCATGCCGCTGTTATGGGATAAATTAACACTGCTGAAGTAACAATTGATCCAGCAAGCCAACAGTGGGGGTTTCTCTTTGACCTCTTTGAAAGGAGATAGATGTTCCCAAAACTTTGGTCTGTCACAAAGCCAGTGTTGCTCTTTTACTCCGTTTGCGCTGAGAGTACGCAATGCACTTTGGCTCCTTTTTCAGTCGGAGATATTGGTAGCATGTATTTCATGAAGCGTGCTGCATTGTTCATGGATTGACAATTATTACCGATGCATAATTCAAACCAGCCCTTGATACTTGGCCTGCTAATTACGCCATTTAAGCAAGGTATAATGGAAGAGTTATTGACTGCCATGTAAGCCTAATCAGTACCGACAATGATATTGCAAGGAACATCAGTCAAGATGATGTCTACATTTGACTGGCTTAGATCTCTGTCCATATTCCGGAAAGGTCATGTGCGCGCGTTTTTGACGCTCGAGGAAGGCTTTGCCTCGTTTTTACTAGAATCTTTTATGGGTTCGTTCGCACTGCTACTTGTGAGCAGTTCTCCTTTAACATTTCGTGCTATTTCTTTGTCGGTGTCCTGCTTCTTGAATGTTTCAAGATCATTGCGAGAGAATAGATTTTGTTCAGTGGTCTGTGAATGACTCTGTGAGTGGGCATAAGTATTTTTACTGATCTCAGTCTCACGAGGGTATGACGTCTTGCTCAATCAACACGATCTCGCCAATTTCTGGACAGGATCTGGTTAGATTGTTTTAACAATTGTTTCTGCATTTCTTGAAGTGACTAAGGTATTCATGCCTACAGCATTCCCAAAACTTATCTGATATTGTTTCTGAGCAGCGCATCGCCACCAGGGCCTGCTCTCTAGGATGACTTAATTCGGGACCATACAATGGATCGCCCATACTTTCGAAACTTCCTCTTTCCGGAAGGAGAAATTTCACATCATGTTGAAATAAGTCGACCAAACGCAGTGGTATCGTTGTAACCTCGTCTAGATTGCGTTCTGTTAAAGGCCTCGTATTTAGAGTTGCTTCTATTCTTGCCATTGTTGTCGACATCTCAGAGAAGTCTAGCTTCCTTCGTCCCATTGATTTGTTTAATGCCTTTCAAAAAGGACATCGGGGACGCCGGTGAATTGAATAACAATTTTATCTCTTTAGTTGCACAAAAGAACATCAAGGAGTTTCCTGATGACTCATCATTTCCGAACATTGTGGCTGTTATTTGCTCGCCTTGTTTGGAATTCATCCCACAGTCAGTACGCATTAGTTTTGGGACGCCTCTTCTTGATATGAAGCGTATGAAACTGTTCAGGAATGCGCCTGTATGCATAATTAAATACGTAAATTTTGTATTGACTCTTCGAGGTAAATGGGCCCATGACGTCTGTTCTAAATTTGTTTTAGGCTACCGCTTTATCTTTGGGAAAAGCGGGCGTCATCGGTGCATCAAGCGGCAGGCTTTATTATTTTTGCCTATGACACAGTTTTTCATGTATTTGTATATAGTAGGATCGCTAAGTACGTGTGTCGCGAAATTCGTGCATACTTTATATTTTTATTTTTATCTATATTTTTATTAATATTATACTTTTGAAGTTTTCTCACAGGGGTTATGGTGTGAAGAAGAAAACGAAACGGGATCTGTCTTGCCGCCGAATGTCGCTAAAGTCAGACCGCAGCCGCAGTCTGATGCAGGGCGTCCGCAAAACGACTACAAAGCTACAGTCAGCGTTCCAACTCCTTCTCATGTATTCTCACCAAGAAACTCTGGCATAGGTAAACTTTTGTTCATTGGTCCCATTTGCTCGTTTGCCATTATTTGATGTATTATTTTCAGCGCAGTTTCCTTCTGGCTTAAGTGGACTCATGTTTCTCCTTACCCTAATAATGTTCGGAGATATTTCTCTTGGAAGAGGTATGCCGTCTATGCAGATCAGTGGTTCGACCATTGATCCTCCTTCGAATGCATCAAGTCCACCTTTGTGTCCACATTTATACCAACAGCCAGCCTCCTCACGACATATCGAACGATGAGTCAACCCCGACTTCCCCATACGATCTAGTATTTCGACCGGGGGCCAGTTTCGCTAGTAATAGTTGGTTTTCCTTACCTTGCGATTCTCTATTAGTAGATCTACTTTTCTAAATATTTTAGCTTTTGTTCCAGTGACACAATCCCCAAAGCGTAGGATGGACCGTTGGAAGAATGTCAGACGTGAAGAGCAATGTTCCGGCAATAACCTTCACAAACAACTTCCTTCAGCTGAGGTCCTCGTATTTAATGCAATCCTTACTATATTTACCTGTGCATCGCGGTGCTGTACTTCCTTGAACTAGGTTGCTCAGTAATTCTTTTAAATTTCCCGTTTTCAGCTTATTCACCATTTTCATTTTAAATCAAGACACCTTTTCGACACCAAACCAGACACATCCTATTTCATGGCGCTAATTAAAAGAGACCACGCAAGGTACTACTGCAACACCGTCCCAACATTCCGCTCCGTTTTCAACGCGCGGTTTATGTGTTTTGAGGAATTCGGCTTTGTGTCGTGTATGTTAATGCTGTGTGGTAATTTTCACAGCTATAACATACACCACACACGATTTTCAGGTAGCTCTCTTCTATTAGAAGCTCCGACCATTCCACAGAAACCCGCCCACACTCTGAAACGCGTGTGCGATTTGGCTTGAAAAGAGTCCGATTAGGTGTGAATAAGAGTCCGAATTGATTTAAAATCGCCTGCTCTGTATAGAAAGGGCTCGATTTGAACGTCAATGCGTTCTTTTTGTTGAGAAAGGGGTCCGATTTTGTTTGAGAAGAGTCCGATCTGGTTAGTATAGGGCATTAGATCTGCATGGTTTGGAAAGCGTCCGATGTGACTTGAAAAATTTCCGATTTGCTTTTAAAGGAGTCCGATTAGGTGTGAATAGAGTCCGATTTGATTAAAAATTGCCTGTGTAGTAGAAAGGCCTCGCTTGAACGTCATAGCGTTTCTTTTTGTTTAGAAAAGGGTCCGCATTTTGTTTGAGAAGAGTCCGATCTTGTTAGTGTGGGATGCGATTAGGTCTCACGGTTTGGAAAGCGTCCGATGTGATTTGGATTTCCGATGCGTATGAATGTCTGGTGTGGTTTGAAAAGAGTCTGATTTGGTTTGAAATAGGGTCCGGCTGGGTTAACCTTGTGTCGTTTTCCTAGTAGGTCGCATTACAGCCCAATTCATCCACGCGGGTCATACAGAAGACGGCGAGCGTGCTCAGTCTAGCCCTTCTCCAAGCAGTGGCAACATCGGCCAGCAAGAACTCTCCAAAGAAGACAGCGAACACTGACTTGTTCTTTTACACTGAACAAGGAACCTTCGAGAAACCGAAAGCTTGAAGTGTAAAAAATGAACAGATTCAAAACGACCAAACGCTGCCGGTAAATAGCCAAGAGACAGGGCAAGGTACTGCTGTCTGTTAACGGTCGAAGGAAGGACACCACAAAGGACTCAAACATTCCACACCACGTTGAGCTGTTGCAGTTGCACAGAGATTCAAGCCAAACCAACGCCTGTTAGTGAACTTTGGAAAGAAAACTGTCACCAAAGTCAATCTTCAAACATGTCAAGGCTAGCGCTACTCGATCCAAGATTGACAGTTGTTACACGCGAGTCAGAGTACTACCTGAGGATCAAAAAAGGATTTGACATTGACGGTGACATAGAAGAAATCGCCAGTGGCTAGGGAGAAGACCATTCATGGCGCTCAGGGACCGGATGGAATTCAAGGAAGCGATACGTCTCACAGTAAAATCAGAAGCGCGCAACCCAGTGGCGAATGTCAGGAAATCAGACGATGACATGATTGTCTTCGGAACTAACGCGCTGCAAAAGTTCGGCCTGCCGTTAAAAGAGGAGAGCGAATCAACCAAACACACATATTGTTCACTGGCGCCAGGCAAAGACATTTTCTAATTAAATTCTCCAACGAACGGGTAAAAGCGACGTCCGATAACCTCAGCACATCGGCACAGTGATTCGGCGGTGTACATCCCTCCCCGAAGAAAGGAGGCGGTAGCAAGTTCTATCGCACAGACTAACAAAGATTGGATCTTGTCGTGCGACTCGTATCCAGAGTCGATGCTACTCTGGATACTGTTTGTAACCATGGCAAACCTGTTGTCAGTATACCTGTAACCAGCACTACACCAGGCTGAACTTTTTCGTGCGGAAGAAAAAGGGAAGCTGGGACCGCGAACCTTTGTAGAGCAACCCACTGCGGAGTATACAAACATGTTGAAGGGTACTTGCAGTGAAGCTTAATGGATGCGAACTACATCTTCGGAACTACTTTTCCATAGAAAGGAAGGCGTGAAGAACCAAAAAGCTCCAAGCTACTTCCAATTTCGCATCTTTTACGCGGGATTTTCGTATTTCTTCGCAATTTTCATATTTTTAAAATGATAGAGGAAGTCCCGCTTACCATGCGGAGCTCCGCCCCTTCGTGGAACCTACTTTTGAAAATGATGGGATTAAAGGCTGAACTATTAGGGAGTCGCTCGTCACTTGGATCAAAAAACAATGCAGTGTTCGATCCTAAGTGACGAGCGACGCCCTAAACGTGCCCTGTTCAACGCTAACACGTGACGACGAGCCGTTTTTCCCATGACTTGCGCCTGGGACGGCACATGTTTCTACACTGAAACTTAGTAATCACCCCATATATATAATTCGTTTTGTCTGTTTGTTTGTTTTGTTTGTTAGTTAGTTAGTTTGTTTGTTTGTAAGTTTGTTTGTTTGTTTGTAAGTTTGTTTGTTTGTAAGTTTGTCTGTCCGGAAATTCGGTTCGACCTGAAGAACGACTTGGAGAGGTCCGGTCAAGTGGGGATGGGTAGGGCGTGGGACAAGAAATAAAAAGCACACTTGACCTAAGGGAAGCTCCGCCCACAGTAGGTGGGGCACTCCCCGAAAGTTTGGGGATCCGCAACAAAAATTTCATAATTCGCTTCCGGGGCAGCCTAAAGATGGGGGAAAAAGGGAATAAGGTTAGTAAGGAGCGCCAGACTAACTGTGGCAGGTACACCGCTAAATGGGCGGGGCGTACCAAGGTGGGCGGTGGCTTCTCGCAAAATCAGTAACCCGGTTCGCGAGAGTGAAGTCGCAAAAAGCTCAGTTTAGAATGTAAATATCTGGCGAATATAGGGCAACGCTCAAAGCGTGTTGCGATCCGCCCACAGTGGCGGGGCTTGCCCTAAATGCGCAGGGTATTCCTTTGAATGTTTGTAGCTCGGTTCCAGAAACACTCCAAATACCGGAAAAAAAGTGGATTAAGTTCATCAGAGGGTCGTCGGTTAGATTGCAGGGCAAAAAAATTGTGGGCGGAGCCTGCTCCGAGGTGGGGCGGAGTCAGACAAAAGGTCTGTAAATCGTTCCAGAATACTCCAGACACCGGAAAAAAGTGGATTAAGGTCAGCAGAGGGTCGCGGGTGAGGATTGTGGGGCAAAAACATTGTGGGCGGAGCCTGCTCCGAGGTGGGCGGGGTCAGACAAAAGTTCTGTAAAACGGTCCCAGAGCACTTTCAAAGACCGGAAAAAGTGGATCAAGGTCAGCAGAGGGTCGCGGTGAGGATTGTGGGGCAAAAACATTGTGGGCGAGCCTGCTCCGAGGTGGGCGGAGTCAGACAAAAGGTCTCAAAAACGGTCCCAGAGCACTTCAATGACCGGAAAAAAGTGGATCAAGGTCAGCAGAGGGTCGTCGGTGAGGATTGTGGGGCAAAAACATTGTGGGCGGAGCCTGCTCCGAGGTGGGCAGAGCTGCGAGTGGGCGGAGCCAGACGAATATTCCCTAAAACTGTCCAGGCACTTCAATGACCGGAAAAAAAATGGATCAAGGTCAGCAGGAGGGTCGTCGGTGAGGATTGTGGGCACAAACATTGTGGCCTGCTCCGAGGTGGACGGAGTCAGACGAAGAATCTGTAAATAGGTCAAGAGTTCTTCAGACACCGGAAAAAATGGAGTACAGAACAAAAGGGGATATCAGTTGAATCTAGAAATATGTGAAAGAAAGCACGCGCGGCGAAGCGCGCGCCGCCCGGCGGCCGGGCCGTATCAGAAGGAGCCACGCCGGCGTCAGCCGGCGAGGCGACTGGTTTCCAAATAAATGAATTACTACGACCAAAATGTATCGAGGAATAGACGAGTATAGCAAGAATCTTTGGCACATTTAGATCTTATTGCTCCAATCTCCCAAAATTAGACCACTTTTTTTTTACCAAAGTCTTCCTCTGGAGACGAATTGACTCAATTAGTCTCCTGGGGTGGTTTGATCTCCTAAGGAACAATATCGAATCCCTCGACCCGAAAATGTTTGTTCTTGAACAACTTTGAAGCAAGTTTTCAGGGAATTTGATGGTCTAGGATATTTTGGCGGCGGTGCCAGGCAGTTTTGTGGCAATCGATTGTGACGTTCATGTTCAGGGGTCAAGCTAACCCACGAGACAAGTTTCAAGCGATTTGGTGACCTGACGTATTTTGGCGCCGGGCTGTCGCGCGGGCGCCAGGCAGTCCGAGGCAAACCACACTGGCTGTTCGTTTCAGAACTTCAGCCTAATCTTATAGGCATTTTTTAAAACAAACTTGGTTGCTTGCACGTCATTATTAGAGCAGTAATGCTGTCGACAGCATTGTCCGACACCGCCCCATGGGACAGACTGGCTGTTCGCTCACCATTGTCCGACACCGTCGTCAACGTGCTAAACTGCTGACCCGCATCATTTTTCAAAAGTAGGCAGGGGTTTCACAGAGTGGGCGGAAGCTCCCACGGTGGGCAGGGATTCCTCTAGCAGTGCAAAAATTTGAAAATTGTGAAGAAATACCAAAATTTTGCGAAAAAATGCAGAGCGTAGCCAAGGGGGCAGAGCCTAATTTGTCGATGCATTAATGTGCGTCAGCATTCAAACTTCATCGCAAGTCCACTTGGTGGGGGCATATGTACACTTTGACATCGTAGACATATTGAGCCATGATGCGAGTGAAATGATAAGCTACATTTGCTTT